GATCTTAATAGAGCTAAGAATACCAGCCACCACTTATTATGTACCTCTTACCAGCTAGGTACCATGCTTTATAAACTAATCACTAGTAATTAGCTCTGTGTGAGATATCATGTGCGGAAAGACCAGAAAGATGGTCAATCCTGAGAAAGGCATTGGGAGTTGGCATGGGAGTTATAGTTAATTAAAAATATAAATTTCTATAAGGAGTAACATTTAAAGAGGAAGAACCCTTCACATATGTCTTTGTACTTACTGTTATAACTTCAAGATGCTTATTTGACATTCTTTTTTATTTTTGGAATTTAGAGCCCTAATCCATTACTCACCTTTAGTGTCAAGACGCATGACAGAATCTATTATATGGTGGCCCCATCACCCGAAGCCATGCGGATCTGGATGGATGTGATAGTTACCGGGGCAGAAGGATACACTCACTTCTTGTTGTAGTGAATAGAAGAAATCATCCACTTCAGGGCAGACTGCAATAATCCCATACAAGAATGAAGCCATATGCAATCTCAGATGGAATGACCTGACACACCCCTCCTTTAACTGTACACTCTCAGAACTCTTTTCTTATTGGGAAGTCTTTTGTAAAGAGAAAGAAGAAGCTTAATTCAAAGTTTGATCATACATAGGAAAAGAATTAAAGTTCCTGTGAGAAACACTATTTTGATAAATATCACATATGAACATTTCATATGAACTATTTTTATCAATTGTTGGTTTTGGTGAAATGAATAACAGTTTACAAAATGTCTGTATATATGTACTTGGAAATATGGAATTATTTTAGCATCCAAATCATTGCCATTGACATTACTGGTAATCAACTGACTTTTTTAAAAAACAGCATTTTATAAATACAAGCAAATAAGGGCTTGGAGGAGAATGTCCTTTAAGAATTTTGCCTTAATTTTTAAGTACTGCACCAAAACCAAAGACTTGGCATGACTTCTGTTTAACAGTAGTAGTTTCAAGTAGTGAACTGCACTTGGTGTTGCTCTATATTTTAAAATGATATTTTGATGCCATTAAGTGCCGTGGAAATTGACATTGCAATGTCATCATCAGTATAAGCTATGGAACATATATAGTAAGCCATTTATTATAAAAGAAGAAAAAAAAGCTGTGTGTTTCAGAAAAAAAAAAGCTCCTGTAGACAACAGACATTCTCTCATATTGGACAATTTTAAATAAAGAGAACATTTGATGTTAGGAACTTATTTTGCTGAAGATTTCTCCATTCCCAATGCTGAGAGTAAAGGCAACCAGTAGCATATTTTCTTTATAGATTGTTATGGAGCATACTTGTTAACTGCAGCCTCTCATGACTTAACTCTGAAATCATAGCTCTGTTTTCACCAAAGAACAGAATAATTAAAATACCTATTTTACAGAAATGGTGTAGTTCTATAAAAACGCAAGCAAAGTTCACTTAACATTCTCTATAATAGTTTATTATGTATTTCTTTTACTTAGCTTTTGTTTTTTGGAGTTAAATTAATTTTTGTTGAATTAAATGACTTCAGGCAAGTCTCTTTTATAATGGTTTTTCGGATGCCATTTAATCTAGTTTTTCATGTTTTGTGTGTTTGTAAGTATGAATGTACTCTTTCCCAAACATGGCAAATAAATAGAAGTAGAAAACAATGACATAACTTACAAAGGGGAAATGACTAGCTTAGAAGTGTCTATAAAATCCGTCAGGCCTGATTTGGTACAATTTTCTTTTTTATTTTGCAATGTAGTCTGTATACATATGTACCTGTTGCCAATAATAAGATTTTGCAACTGGATGACACAAGATTTTACTTGAACAATGAAGGACAAAAATCATGATTGTATTTTTAAAATCTGATTTTACAGAGATCACCTTTAAACTGATTAATGATCTAAGAGATTGAAATGCAACTGTTGAGATTTTGTTGGTTAATATAAAGACAAAACTTTCCTGTACTGTATTATCTCCATAGCACAGTAAGGGTATTGTAATCAATTTGCATGATTTAAACCTTTTAAATTTGTGTGTTAAATGTATTGAGTTTGGATTAAAATGTTGACCTGATTTCACATTTGAAAGTAAACTCTTCTCTGATTAAGAAGTTACCTATCTGCAACATGATGGGAGATTGATTAATCAGCAAAAATCAATTGTAGAATCCACATAAAGATTGTTGTGTGCTAACATTATGATTTTTAGCTTGAAAACTAATAATTAGAAGGATCTCTGGCCACATTACTATTGCTTACAAAATGAGATGAAACTTAAAAACTCTGACATCTTATTGTCTTTTCGAATGAAGGCAGTAATAACTGTGGATTTCCAGGACTATGTTTACTTATCTTTCTATCCAACAAGAAAAAAAATGCAAATGTGAAGGAAAGCTTTGGGATTTTACTTGATGAGTACTTCATTTGTCCCTCTAAATTAAGATAGCAGATTTCTGAAAGAGAAACTGCCCTCAACAATATGTTCTTTCACACTGTTGTTAATGAAGGCAACATTGACAGTAGATGGCCAGAATGAAAACAAGTTGGTCAATATCTGCCGCAGTCTGGCTGGGCACAAAATCACGAGCCACCACACACCTTGTAGATTCAAACAGCAACTCTTTATTCTCGAACTGTCACCGGCACTTTACACACACGTTCTGGGCAAATCCACAATCTGGGCAAAATCCACCGGGCTCTGAATCCCAAATACTCTCTGAATCCCGCGAGAACTCAACGAACTCAACGGGAACTCAAGGAGTGGGCACGCCTGAGGCAGCAGGATACGCCCTATTCCCAGCAGGGTACACCTTAAACCTGGATCTGCCCTGGTCCTTGAGCAAGGTCACCTTACATGCAATGTCACTGCAAATGACCTGGGTCATGCCATGCGTCATACCTACTTGGCAATGGCTCTCAGCAAATATCAAGTCCATCACTGTCAGGAAAAGTATTTACACTTGTCTTAAGCCACAAATGTTCCTGAATTGCTAGGTTAGGATGAACAAAGAAAATGATTAATGGGTTTGCGTTTTCTGTGCAGCATTTTTCAGAGTATGAATATTGCCACTAGTTTGCTGCACATAAAATACCAAAAGACCTGAAAAAATAAAGGGGAAAGAAGGAAGAGGAATCATTGGAAACATTTGCAATTATCCAAAAACAAAAAAGAGAAGTGTTTTGTTGTTAAAATACTCGGGATGGTGAAGTGACATTCCTTGGGTATCACTTTGTAATTCAGTCCCTTTGTAGCCTAATGGAAAACTAGCAAAATAGCTCAATATCTTGTGGCATATGTCCTGAAGTTAAGTCCTTACTCTATGTCCTTCCTATTTGGGAGATATTACAACTGTTTTTTTAGTTGTAAAAGGACAGAATACCTTTATTTGTTTATTTTTATGTGGTGCTGAGGACCAAACCCAGTGCCTCACACATGCTAGGAAAGCACTCTGCCACTGAGCTACGGCTCCAACCCCGACATTATACCTTTTAAGAAAGAGATCTATTCAGTCTCTATTTATCCAACTTTTCCAGTTTGTTCTAATCTAACAGGACAGGTTCTTAAGACCCCAAAGACATGCTGGATTTACTATATACAACATTTGCCTTTAGCTCTGGTACCAGTCATTTCTCCAAATTTTATAACTAAAAATAGTCAAGTGGTTTCACTCAAAGCATTACACCAGCTAAGTGACTTTTAAGCAGAAAAATATTAGAGAAGGCCTTATTGGTTGATACCTGTGGCCCTCAGGAATTACTTTGAAGGATGTCAGAATTTTAGTCCACACTTGTATAATTTATCCAACTATTTTTCTATTGTCCATTCATTTTTTCCCTTGTCTGTTTCCAAGAAATGGTGCTGTAGTAAATAGCATGCATCACAATGGACTTGTGTTTCTTGTTTTCAATAAGGTACTCACAAATGGGAGGGCACTGGGCCAAAGGGCATTGAAAATAATGCTTATTTTAAATTGTATTAAATGTGGCCAGATTACTTGACAAGATTTTAGCATTTCACCCACCCAGCAACAATACGTAAATGATAGTTTCCATCATCTTTGCAAATAGTTGCCCTTTTAAAATTTCTGCCACTCTGATGGGGTGGAAAAAATGGTATGTTATTTTTTAAATTCACATTTTTTCAATTAGACATCATGTTTATTTACATAAACTGCCTATTCATAGCTGTTGGTCAATTTATTGAAATTGTTTTTCTTATTTCTAAGAGTAAACTGAGTACAATCAATGTATCTATGCTGTAAAGCCTAGTTTTTTCCTAAGTTCTCATTGGACTTAATGTATCTTTTGCCATTAAAAATGTCTAAATTCATATACAATCAAATGTATTTTTCTGTATAATTTGGGGTTTTCAAATATTAATTTTAAAATTCCCTTCTATTCCTGAATTATAAAATATTCTACTAAAAATTATCTACTCTTCTAAATACTATTCTTCTATTTAGATGATTTAATCTGCTAACGTTATTCTTCCATATAGGAAGAAGCGGGGGTCAAGATAATTCAATCATTCAGCAGGCACGTGAAAAACTAGAACAAAAACTATGAGTTGAAAATGGGCAAGGGAACCAGAAGATGTCTGATTTCACATCAGAGATTTACACATCAGGATTAAGGTCACATCTTGGAGGCGTTTTCGGTAGAGGTTAAAACTGTCAGGAAGTCACGGGAACTTGGGATGCAGCAAGCCTTTTGGTTCCTCTCCCAAAGGTCCTCCGGACCATAAGAGGGTTTCCTATCTAGAAACTCCGGATATGGTTCCTCTCCGAGCTTTCAGCAGCCAGCTGAGAAGGCAGCTTCTAGAGGTCACTCAAAGTATTCCAAACTGTTAGAGGCAAATTTCCCTAAAGAAGAAACAACAATGCAGTAGAAAGAATGGGATGCGCGACGGATACTCTACGCATGCGCGCTCTTCCGAGCGGAAAAAGCTGAGCAGCAAGGTTTAGCAAGTTCCGCCTTCCAGTGAGCTGGGCATGCGCAGCCTGGGAGCTCTGCGTGTTGCGTCTCTCTAGAACCCGGCTGGGCTCAGGGACAGCTGGGAAGATGGCGGCTGTGGGCTTGACGGCTGTGGCTGCCTGGGTACCCTGTCGGAGCTGGGGCTGGGCAGCCGTCTCCTTTGGCCCACACCGTGGCCTCAGCGCGTTACTTCCACGGAAGCCCCAGCGGGCGCCCCGGTGGCTCCCAGGTTAGTGTCCGAAAGGCGGGAGTAAGCTGCGTTCCTTCGAACGCGAACACTCGGCGTTCGGTCATTTCCTGTGCAATGCATTTTTGGCGCTCTGTTCAAAAGCGCTTTTTCTTAGCACTCCAGGCGCTTCGTACATTTCTGGTGGAGACTGTGATGAGAGCCCTGCTGGAGCCCTGGGGTATTCTTGGAAGCCCGGGTCCTTGCTGGCCTTTTACTCCCTGCAGTTTCAGGAGCTTCTGCCCTCTACTTGCCTGCTTTTTCTGCATGCACTTGGTTATTACTCGCTTTTGGGGCTTTACGATTCTCACTTGAATCTAATGTATGACATATGATATGTCAAGAGCTTTGTAATGTTTTGAACAACCAATAAAAAAAAATAAAATACTTAGACCTGCCCTCTCATGACTTGAAACTTAAAATATGAGGCATGTTCTTTTTAAAAGTGTAGCTGCCACTCTTTAATCCTAATTTTGTAGTGTTGTTTTCTTGATGCTCCTACTCAGTGAGGGAGCCATAATTATTACAAAGGGAACACGTTTTTGGATCAAACATCAGAGACTCTCATACACACACACACACACACACACACACACAAGTCTTGTTGAATTTTGTCCTTTGTCTTTTCACACCCTTATCACATAGCTGTCAGATGCTTGGTATCTAGGATAGTAATTAATTGGTCATTGTAGAGAGCTTTTGTTTCTAATTTTAAAAGTTAAACTTACATAGTAAATTTAACTTTAATTATACACAACGAAAAGCATGTGTTATGTATAAGTACTAGCCAAGTATAGAATGTCCGTTCATTAAACTCATTAAGGGTATACTCTTCTGTTTAGTAAATACTTTTTGAACATTTATGTACCTAGCTTTCAGCTAATCCTTATTGTACAAAAATGATTAATGGATATGATGTTAAGAATATATTCACTTTAAATAAATTATAATTGTCTTGAGGAAATTCTTGTGTTGGATGTAATAACAGGAAGATGAGAGAAAGGAGTTTTTTGAGTGCTTAACTGAGGAAATGGAAGATGACAATTATTGCTGATACAATTGCTGACCAACAGCTAGCCCAGTTTTTTACCAAAGGTTTTAAATTGGGCATATTTCTCTATACATTGAAACTTTGAAACAGGCTTATATGTAAAAGGGAAAGCATTAAAGCCTTCAAATAAGTTTTTTTTAAAAAATAAGCATAACAAATCCAAAATGGGGAAAATTTTCACAGCATATATGGAGGGAACTGAGAGGTTTTCCCTAGCTGCAAGAAAGTGGCAGAAGCTCCATTTAATGTAAAAGAAATTGGTTAATGGGGTGGGGGAGGACCCCATATTATAAGGAAGTACACAAATGTAATGGCTTTGAAGGGAGAAAGAGGGGTGTGTGTTAAATACTATATCTTTTGATCTTTTTAATCAAATATTGATTTATTCTAGGGAAAACGTTTTTTAAAGAATGAAATGAACTGACTTTGTAAAGTTCACCATTTGTGCTGCTCTAATTAAATTATTCTAATACCTGTGTGTATCATTCATGAAAAGCCAAACCAACACAAATAAACAAAATGATTGCAGAGTCCTATGAGAAATCTTTCCAAAAATATTTGCAATTCAAGGTTATTTGTAAAGGAACTGCTTCTTAAACCCCCTGCAGCCAATATAAAATTATGATCATCTGTTATCATTTCAGGGTGGAACATGTGAGTGGGAGTCATCAGTGAAAGGAGTGCAACACTTCCCCTTTGAAACAATTTCTCAAAGAGTAGAGGATGTGAAACTCCTCAAACAATAAAAAAGATGACAAAATCTCCAAAGAGAGGGTTTTAACTAGTATAGTTAATGTTCATCAACACTGTTGAGGATAGGTTATGTAGCAGCAATAGGAAAATGGTTTTTGATGTATCTCTTTTATTTAGTTGAAATTTCTACTTCATTGTGTAATTTGGAAGATTGGACCTTGAAGTTACTGGTTTTGACACAGTTTTAAAACAAAGATGCCTTGACTAATGAATTTAGTACTTGTTAATTTAGTCTGTTTTTTCCCTATCAAAATGAAATGGATTTAATATCAATGAGTTAAGAAAGGTAAAGTTTTACATATGATTTTCAAAAAAATGTACATAGAAATTATAATTTATGTTTTTTGTACTTTGTTTAGTTTGCAGACAAAAGACATCAGTCTCTTTCCTTAATCGACAAGACCTCCCCAAACTGGCTTATAAGAGGCTAAAAGGCAAAAGTCCAGGAGTTATCTTCATCCCTGGCTATCGTTCTGATATGAATGGTACAAAAGCAATGGCAATTGAGGAGTTTTGCAAATCTCTAGGTCACGCCTGTATAAGGTAGGAACAAAACATTTCAGAGAACATTGGTATCATTTAGCATGGTGGTGGAGAATTACTTCTGCTGTAACCAATTGAAGTAAATGCCAGCACTTTTCTAGATTAATTTATTTTAATGGTCTGTAAACTTTCATCTTGTGATTTAGGGTGACTGTAAAAGCAACCTTTAAAGACCTTTTTAAAAGGTCTTTGTGCTGACTGACAATAGTGGTAGGAAAGGATATGTGACAAAAACAGATATATTAGTTGGCTTTCTTGTAATCTCTTTTAATTTTATTGTGGTTTTCCCCTGGAGACACAAGGATTTATTTGACCACTGTTTATTGCCTTCTAAAATGTGTATTTAGGGATGAGGTTGTAGCTTAGTTGCAAAAGAGTGTTTATACTTCAGTGTGAACCCATGTTAGATCTCCAGCATCACACACATAAACACAAAGTAACTAAAAGTAATTTATGTACTTAAAAGTATTGTAAAATTAGTGTTCTATAATTCACATTTTTGCTGAGTTTTCTCTTTTTTTTCAGTCCTTGAATCTTAATATTTATAAGCATAAATAGGGATTGGTGATGTTTAACTGAAGATTAATTTTACATTTCCTAATTTTTCGCACCAGCAATTATATTAATAAAATAATTTGTTCACTTTGTTGTCAAGTTTATCTGTAACAGTCACTTACTTATTTAATTTAATAGCAGAGTATGGTTTAGTCAAAAGAGCATTAGCCTGGAATTCAAGAATTTGGAGTTCTAGAGTAAATTCTTTCAATAATGGTGACAGACAAGTCAGTCAATAAACACTGAACCAAATTTTGTCAAAACAAGGAGGTTAAGTTAAATATAATTTCTGAGGGTTTTTTTTTTTTTTTAGCACTAACTGCCCAAAAAATCTATTCACCTAAGTTTTTAAAGTAATTTTACTAATATTCAGTAGTTCTATAAAATATAGCTAGATATTCTCTGTTCAACCTATTAGCAGAATTTATATAAATTATATGGATTTAGTCTTTTTCCCTCCCAGCAATTTATCAGAATTATTTTCATGGTCAGAGCTCTTTAAAATCTCTTCCAACTTAACTGTTATTCTGAAGACAAGTATTTTTTTGAAAATAGTCTCTAGCATTATACTGGGTGCTGAATAATAAGAATTATAAAACATTGTACTTGTCCTTAAGATTCTTTCAATCAGGGTGGAGACAATTCAGATAGGAAATTAGGCAGAAATACTCATCAGAATGTGATTGTCAAAAGAGCAACATACTGGGGCTGGAGTTATGGCTCAGAGGTAGAGTGCTCACCTACCATGAGTGAGGCACCAGGTTCGATCCTCAGCACCGCATAAAAATAAAGTATTGTGTCCTCCTATAACTAAAAATAAATGTTTAAAAAAAGAGCAACATACTTAGTTATGTAAGGTGAGAGAAAACTGAAGATTGAAGTGGATAGAAAAGACCTCATAAAGGAGCACTGAAAAGTAGTTAAGATTTAAATAAGAGGGAAGTTCTGTCCAGGGAGGGAGGCTGCCCTTAGCAGAATATCATATCACAAATATTGCTATTACTATTTCTTGACGCCCACCCAAATTTGAATTAACAAATCACCTTTTTACTGATTCTTAAATTTTAGCTGTGCCTGTGAGAACTATAACCTGTTCCTCTCTCTAAGACATACTGTGAATTTTCTGTATTTTGGATGGTATACTAATATAAATTATACCTTGATTGATGATGGAACAATAACTATAAAGTATAGCCCACTTGCTAAAATTTTTAATTTGATCAGATTTTTTTTATTTGACCTTATCAAACTTCATTACAGTAGAGTCATTATTAACTATTGATTGCATTTTAGTTTACTACAAGAAATTTTATCCTCAATTTACATATTTTTCCTAATTTTTCAATTTACTTTTTTTGTAATTCTCACTATAAAATTTAGATGTTAAGATGAAGTGATTAGTTTATTAGATAAGAAATGGTACATATGGCCATGTGAAAATGGTTTCATAATGTCTTATCACATTGCATGTAAAGTAAAATTGCGTCAGAATTCAAGGAAACACACACACATATATACACACACATATATATATACATACACACACATATATATACACACACACACACACAGTCACACATGCAGCTCAGGCTAGCATTCTCATAATTATTTCTAGTGGTATTTTTAATTTGGGCCTATGCCCCTGAAAAATTGAAGCTGCTAGAACAAAGTTATATTGCTGTTGAAAAGTCTTAAAAATAACTAGGCTCAGTGGCACATACCTGTAATCCCAGTGACTCAGGAAGCTAAGGCAGGAAGATCTCAGGTACCAGAAAAAAAAAATGTTTTAAAAATACTAAATTGTTTGAATTAGTATCCTTTGTCTCTGGATTAAGATGCAGCAAGAGGGAGCTATATATTTTTTATTTGTAACTTATTAGCATCACTAAATGTATTAATGCATATTTTACAGCTTCAAAGTTTATGGCCACCCTGCACCAAGCAAGTCTTTCAGCATCATTCAGATGGTCATTTTTAGCAATAAAGTATTTTTTAATCAAGTTATGTACTTTCTTTTAGACATACTGCTATTGCATACTTAATTGACCACCATATAATATAAGCCTAACTTTTATATGCACTGGGAAGCCAAAAAGTTGTGTGACTCTCTTTATTGTAATATTCTTTTTATTATGGTTGTGGGGAGCTGAACCTGCAGTATCTCTGAGGTATGCTTATATTTTTTTCATAAAGGAGCTTCACAAGTATTTTGCATCCTCTCCATATATTTGGAAGGTAGTTGTAAAAGATGCAGCATATAATGATACCGCATTGCCCACCAAGGAGGGAAGAAAGGAAATCCAGTGCACTCTTCTCCTTAGTTGATCTTCTGGGTACCCTGGATTGATGATGGAACAATAACTATGTTTTAGATTATAGTAACAGCCTTGTTCAGATTTCCCAAAGATATGAAGTCATTTAATTTCAAATCTAAAGAAAATGTAAATTTCTGTTTCTTTGTTTGGGCACCTGGGGATTGAACTCAGAGCCACTTGACTACTGAGGTACATCCCCAGTCCTATTTTGTATTTTTTTAAGAGACAGGGTCTCACTGAGTTGTTTAGCACCTCGTCTTTGCTGGGGCTGGCTTTGAACCTGCAATCCTCCTGCCTCAGCCTCCTGAGCTGCTGGGATTACAAGTGTGCACCACCGCACCCAGCTTTCTTCTTCTTTTTATCACTTAAAAATAAAATTAATAATAAAATAATTTCATATACTCTAACAAAGATTCACTAGTTTTCACTAGATTTTCAGAATCAGAAAAGCAAGAAAACTTTGATATTTGAATGAAGTAATTTTTCTTTTTCCTTCCAGTTTTATTCATTTAGTAGATGTTGTTAACTTCAGTGAGGTGTCTCTATTGAAGGAATGCAGAGAGAAAAACAAGTTTATATGATGTGACTTAAAGAACAGCTAGGAGTTTGGGCAGGGAAAGAAGGCTTTGTAAACAGTAGAACAGCATGCAAAGACTCAGAGTTATGAAAGGACTTGTCTGGGAAATGGGAGTTTAATATGACTGGGGTTTAGGATAATCTGTGGGCATGGTATTGATACTTCATGATTTATTGAATTGGGACCTGAAGGGAGAATTAAAATTTACAGATCATATAAACTGCCCCTGGATACCTAGAAAGTTACAAGGAGAAATGTATAGGTTCATAATGATGAATTTGATTCTGATCTCCTTCCTAACCATTAATTCAGCAAATATGTATTGAACATTTACCACTTACAAAGTACTGATCTAGACACTGAGAAAGCAGGAGTAAACAAAACAAACTGTGGGCCCATTTGAACCCTCCATTTCAGTGTGGAAGACAGGCCACAAATCAATGATCAAGTGTCTTATCTGTCAAGTATAAGTGCTATGAAGAAAATAAAACAGTAAGGAAATACAAAATGAAGAAAGAAGCATAATTTTAATGATTGAACAGCCAGAGAAAATTTTCCTGGGGGTATAATATTAGAGCCAGAGGCCTGAATGAAGTGAGAGAGCAACCCGATGGATATCTGGAGAGAGAATATACCATGTAGAAAGGAAAGCTGATGAGGCAGGGAAGTGGATGTTGTGTTCCTTGAATTCAGTAAAGGAAGAGAGGATACAGTTGGGAGGGAGGGAAAAAAAACAGTAAGAAATAAGATTTCTAATTTAAAAAAAAAAAAACTCTAATCCAAAATTGGTCAGGGTCCAAAATATGGTATGGACTTTGGGTTTTATTGAAGATTATAGAAAGCCTTTGGAGGGTTTGTGTAAGACCTGTATTTGTTTAAAAATGGTCACTCTGATTCTTTGTGGAGAATAGAATATGCAAGTGGAAAATAGAAACCAGGAGATTTATGGAAAGATTTTTTTATTAGTCCATTTAAAAGGTGATAATGAGTTGGGCCAGCTGTGGAGCAGGTGAGGAAGTGATTGGAAGTAGAAGATATTTGAAGGTTAAGCCAATACAATTTGCTAAAATATTTATACTATGATTTTTCACTATATTTTTGGTATTTTAATAACAACAACGAATGTACCATCTTCAAAATTAAAGAAGCAGATATACAGAGATACATAAACATTTAGGTGTAAATGTATATTTTTTTTTCAGGTTTGATTACTCAGGAGTTGGAAGTTCAGATGGCAAACCAGAAGAATGCACAGTGGGGAAATGGAGAAAAGATGTTCTTTCTATAATTGATGAATTAGCTGAAGGACCACAGGTGACTGTTTTTATTAAAGATGATAATTATAAATTATAGTCTCATGATAGATATGAACATTTAATATTTTAAATGTTTAACAATGTTTTATGAACAATTTTGATTTAACATTTTCCATCATTTTTAACTTTCTAATAAAAAAAATAACAATTTACTTTTCATTGTATGAATTTTATTTTCAAAATTTTTGCCTAATATTTTTACAGAGTTAATTATAATTGAATTTTACTTTGTGCCAAACATTAAAAGTCTGGTAGCTATGTGTATATAGAAGAAAAAAGTACATATATTTATATTAAACTACTTACTTCCCTTACAAACATTCCTCTCTAAAATGGTAATATAATTTTATTCTTAGATACTTGTTGGATCTAGCCTTGGTGGATGGCTTATGCTTCATGCTGCAATTGCACAGCCAGATAAGGTCGTGGCTCTTATTGGTGTAGCTACAGCTGCAGATAGCCTAGTGACACAGTTTAATCAGCTTCCTGTTGAGGTAAGTCACAGGTCACTTTGGTAAACCCAGAGGTATACCTCCTATCATTCTTCTGATTTATCTTTTTTTGAATATTGGTTTATGTATCATCTGTCACTTGACATCATGTTGGCTCATCTTTTATCTTACCTGCTTTTTTTGTACGGTCTCTTTACAAAGTTTGTTTGGCCTCTTACTTAAGGTTTCCTTTACAGTTCCTTTCAAGTCATTCTTCCAAATATTTGAGCCATATTAATAATAAAATCATACTTTGTGATTTATTTTTTATGAAGACTTTCTTTGCTTTTTTTTTTTTTTTTTTTTTTTTTTGTACCAGGAGTTGAATCCAGGGACACATTGTGCATTACCACTGAACCATATCCCCAACCTTTTTTTTTTTTACTATATTTTTATTTTGAGACAGGGTCTCACTAAGTAAGAAGACTTTCTTTATTAATCACATTTATGTGTTTGGATCACATATCATGAAGTACTTTTGTGCCTCCTTTACTTTGTGGCATTTAGGTAAGTACTACCTATTCCCACTACTGTTTTAAACTGAACTAAACAATTTAAAATTTGTTTTAGCCTGAAAGCAGCCTCAGATCTTCGGGACAGACAGACATCAGCCAAAAATCAGTGCACACAGATAAAATTTGCCATTCTGGACTAGTTACATAGTTGCATTCTTTTTCTACTCCAAATTCTTAGGCAGGGGGAAGAGGGGCTTTTTGTTATTAGCATGTTTTTTAGCAGATCATGATACCAATGAGGTTTTTGAAATAACTGTCAAGATAGCTAGTTTATTACATTCTGTTCTTGGCCATATGTTTAAGCATATTATTTATTTTCAACAGTAAAAAATTAAATAATGAATAGTAGGTTCTTATTTTTGTATAGTTTTATTTGTTTTCTAATTAATTGAATTCTCCCTGGGTTGTTTTTTCCTAGAGACCTAAATTTTCAGATGTGGGACTAAGCTCCTGGCAGGTCAAGGCACAGAAATTAAAGACTAAAAAACAGTCAAGAACAATGGTTTTATTAAAAGTACACTCCCCAGTCAAGCAGATAGTCATCACCTCAGAACTTGATAGGAATGCAAATTCCTGAGCTTGAGCTTTACCATGAATTAGAAATTGAGGATGTGGATCTAGTAATTTGTATTAACAGGCCACCAGAGTAAAGTTTGAAAACCACTGCTATAGAGAATTCAGAAAGAGAAGAAAGAAATAAAAAGAAGATGATAAAGTATGTAGTATTGAATAGTAGAATGTCATTGACTTTTACCTCAAGTTCTGCATTGCAATCTGTGCCATATATTATCTGTTCAAAGTTTGTTCTTAGTTCATGTTCTCAGCTTCTTAAGAAATATTGTCTGTCTAGTCAAACTCCGCATATTATTTCCTATCAGGGGTAAAATTACATCTTCCTTGCACTTAGCTCTTATTTCTGAAATGTGTTCTTTCTTTTCTTTTTTTTTTTTTTTTTACACTTGTACATAGTTGTTGCTCAGTCCTCATGCTTTTCCTACTATTTTGTGCATCTAAACACTGGACCCTTGACTCCATTCACTTGACTCAGTAATACAGTTCTCAAAAGTGGGAAATTATCTCAAAAATGTGGCAGAATGAAAAGGAGTTAAAAACATTTTTATTTTGTAGTACATAGGGCAAGATCTATGTACATTTGCTTTTGTACACGTGTATCCACATCACTCAGCATGAGGATGGGATGTATAGTCCCTAATGACTGTATAGACCTCTAGTCTGAAGATCAGGGCTTATATTTGCTAATTCTAGATTACATTAGCAAAGTTGTTGATTTATAAGCATGTAAAAGGAAAGAGCAGGGATACTGGGACCACTGTCTCTTTTCCACACAAATAGCTAGCCATAACAATGTTAAGAGAGCAGGAGAGAATTTTACATCTTTTTTGACTTTGGGAATTTTAAACTCAACGTTTCTCATTGTTTGCCTTGGAACTTATCTCTCTCATAACTGCTAATAATCATCTCCTCAGACAGAGGAGATGTCTGATTTTGATTCTAAGCTGTTTTGATTCTAAGCTTCTGAAGATCACATTGCCTTGATGATAATTTCTTCTTGGTATAAAAATTACATATACTGAATGTTTTCTTGGGATATTACTGTTTTTGCTATTTTTGAACTTTTTCTTTTTGAGAGTTTGGGACATGAAATAAAGTTAATAACTTGTTCTTGAAATGAAATATATTCATTTAATTCAGTGGTAGATAACAGATAGTTGGGGGTCAGAGTGTGTAATGTGAATATTATTAATTCGGTGTCTCAGTAATTAGCCTAGCTTCTATATCAGTCAATAGCCAATGGAACTAAGTTTTAATTACTGAAATATACAAATTAATGAACAATCTTGCTTGAAGATGACTGAATATCATTTTTCCTTTAAATATTTGGTTTATATGTTGTTTTACTACAGAAAACCCCATGTATTAATAGATTCATACATTTTTTATCTTATAGAATTTTCATTAATTTAAAATCATTTGGAGACATATTGAGAAGCACAGCTTTCAGACATTATATACAGATCTTTTCTTTTAAAGATATTCAGTGAATAATAATATGGGAATGGTTAAGCTAATTATCTTAAGTTGATCATAGTAGACTATTCTGCAGCCTTTAAAAACTATAGAATTTTGAAAAGCCCAGAAATAATATTAAATTAATAAAGCATTATAGAAAATTGTATATGGATATGTAATAGATAACATATTTTACGTATTACATATATAAAAACCAAGTGCATAAAAATCCTGAAAGTCAGAATGTTAAGGATTGTTATTTCCATGAAGTAGGATTATGGATAGTGATTTTTTTCAGTGTACTTGCTTATATTTGCTGTGCTTAATAAGTATATGTTATTCATTGAAAGTTCTAATTTTTAATTTGAAAAAATGAGATAAATTATAATCTCAAAATTAGAAATTCTCAAAAGGATTTATAGAACATATAATATTTCATTTTAAGGGAATAAACCTAGAAAATATATTTTTAAGTTTTTCAGGAAGTATTTGGAAGACTTCTGTGTTATTCAAACCAAGCTATTTTTTTTTCTCATTTCTAAAATGCTGAAAAGTAAAAACTATACATTTTACCTTCAGCCTAAAATTGCATGAACATGTGTTCATTTCTGTCTTATTTTTCATTTTTAATTCTATGCTGGATTTTTCCTGTATTCCATATCCATTCTACATATTTCTTATGGTTTCTTTTCATTTTACGATTTTGAAATTTAAACAACTTTTATTCTAAGATCTGATTTTAAGTAAATATAAGTATATTCTTGGACTGATTCCTAGAAATTATTGTACTTTTCTCCTATTGCCCTTTTCAGTTGGAGTGAACTGATAACTGATTTAAGCAGTATGATAAAGTTAGATAAATCTAAATTTGATTCATAGCCATAACATTCACTTTGAACTCCAAACATAATTTTTGATTTCTCTAAACCTTAATATCTACTTTTATAAAAATGGAATGATAACAGAATTCTTACCAAGATCTTATGAAATAATATGTGTAAAGTACCTATCACAGCACCTTGCACATAGTATTTTTTTAAATATTTTTTAGTTATAGGTAGACACATATCTTTATTTTATTTTTATATGATACTGAGGATTGAACTCAGTGCCTCATGCGTGCTAGGTGAGCGCTCTACTTCTGAGCCACAATCCCAGCCCTATAATATTTAATTTTTGATAATTATTGTTGTTATATTTTTGTCCTCTTATGCAAGGTCTGCCTTCCTGAGACAAAGCCTGTTGCATGTGTTAATGTTACTTACATGCTTTTATTTTCCTAATTTTTCCCAATAGGTAAAAAAGGAAGTGGAGATAAAAGGTGTGTGGTCCATGCCATCAAAATATCATGAAGAAGGATTTTATCACATTCCTTACAGTTTCATTAAGGAAGCAGAACACCACTGCTTGTTACATAGTCCGATTCCTGTGAACTGCCCTATAAGATTACTTCATGGCATGAAGGATAACATCGTACCTTGGCATACATCTATGCAAGTTGCTGACCAAGTAGTCAGCAAAGATGTAGATGTCATCCTCCGAAAACATAGTGATCATAGAATGAAGAAAAAAGCAGACATTCAACTTCTTGTTTATACTATTGATGACTTGATTGATAAGCTTTCAACATAGTTCACTAGAATCGCATTTTTAATAGGTATATAAATTATTCAGAAGATTGAAAGCGATACAGCAAATCAAAGACCCTGATACTGTAGGTTTTTCCCTCTTACCTCTATTTTGTAAATATCAGAAAAGTATTTATTTAATTATGTCTTTGCACAAATAATACACATTGTGATGGAAGTACCGGCTGCTGTTTAGAAAAATTTCTTCTTCCTTCAATCTTTGACTTTTTTCCGTTAAAATATTTCCTATTTTTTATTCAAGAGATGTTTACTTTCCTTATGTATATGTTAGCCTTGCCAATTCTTATGTTCTATTATTAATAAAATTTGAATATTTTGGGTTTTGTTTGCCACATTTATAAATGGAAATTTATAAAATTCTGATTTTAAAATGCAGTTCACAAAAATAGGAAGATGTTTATTGAAATAAATTTGAAATGTCTAAAGCATAAGAAAGTTCAAAAATAAGAATATCATTTGAATTTAAAATTAAGGTTTTTAGTCTTTTAAAGGCTCACAGCTTTTTACAGTGATATAAAATAATTTCTAAATTTTGACTACATGTAATTTATTTAAATGGGAAATTCATCTTAATGTAACATTTATATATATTATGATTGGTAAAAACTAAAGAGAAAATTGATCTTTTTAATATTGCCCACTTGCAGAAATACTTTTTATTAATTTGTGCCCTATGTACAAATAGCCAAGTGATTGCCACTTAAAGGGCTTTCTGAAGTGTAGAGAATGGGGGGGGGTGGATATAAAATGCAAGTACAAAGGGTTTTTTAAAAAGTATAACTTTTTCAGTAGTCAGCCTTGGTAATATTGAGTTGGTAGTTTTTAGCTGTTAATTTTGGCTAGACTTGACTTTTGCTGTTTGGATTATTTCAAAGTAAAATTTTTATAAAGTTGACAACATGACTCATGAAATGAGCATGTGTAAAGACTTATTTAATTTGATAATGAGGGAGTCAGAAGATAGTAAACTGATTCAAAGGACAATTTGAAGAAACAGTATTTATAAGCATTGCAGGAAAAAGGTTTGGATAAAATTGCTGTGTAAAAAGGTGTTAGAGCAGACTGATTATCTCTAGAGACCTGCTTTAGAAGGTTGGTTGGCCCATGGCTGTTTTTTAGGAACTTGAATTTCAGGGAGCTCCCACTATTCTCACATCTGATTGAAGCAGTTCACTGTGCCTAAACTGTGCACAAAATTTGGTTTGTGCTGAACACTTGGAAGTCCAGAATATTGATCTATTCCTGGCAGAAAATTTCACATGCTGCTATAAAAACTCATTGTTTGGCAAACTAAATTCAACCTTTGTGACTCCACTGTGAGGATTCTTGAAAGCATGCACCTAGTTTTCCCAGATTTCATTCATCACATGTGCCTTTTTCCTTTGCTAATTTAGCTATGTGTCCTTTTCATTGTAATAAATCATAGCTGTGATTAGAACTACATACTGAATCCTGTGAGTCCTAGCAAATTTTTGAACCTGGGGGGGGGGGGGTGTATTGAGGATGCCTGACACAGAAAGATGCACTTAAGCTCTGATCCATTTGTTGTGTTGTATATCAGAGAAAAATCATAATAAAAAAGATTTGTGTGCCATAGTGCCTGGTGCTGTGGATTGACAGAAGTGGCATTGGCCGTTCTTGAGTCAGCTGGACATTGCTAGGCATGAAGATTACTAGGAAAAATAAGAAAGGGTCTCTGCCCATGAGACTTCTCTGAGGTTAAACGTGATTGCAAAATGGAGTAAGTATAAATAGAGGTACATAATTATGCAGAGGCAGTAATCAGTGCTTAAGGGCAGGAACTCATGCATGGATTTGAATCATGGCTTCCCATTTACTAGCTATGCCTGAGCAATTAGTATCACTGAACCCGGTTTCCTCACCTGTAAAGTGACATAATATAAACCTAGATAATAGGATATAAGGCTAAACACATGGGAAGCACTACCTTTTTATTTTATTTGTATTATGTACAGAATACAGTCCAGTAAGAATGATGGGCACAAATAATCCGTGGTGGAAGAAAGAAAAGGGTAGGGCTACTAAAGGTGAACTGAATTTGACTTTCTTAATACAAGGATCCCAATTAAAATGTTAATTTTATGGTGTTCATTCAAATATTCAAAAAAAAAAGTTAAAAAAAAGGGAAATTCATAATCCAAAGAAAGCTATTATAAAATTCAGCTTTGCAGAGGTTGACATCACAAATTCTAAATGAGGTGAAATTTAGTGTATTCTAGTACATTGTTAATTACTGTTGTGGTTTTTCTTGCCAGGTTTCTGTTCCCTACTAAAATGCTCAGGGGTCACTCCAGGTAAACTGGGCTAACTTTTGGGCTGTGCAAAATAAGCACACAAGAGACACAAATACCTTTTTCTTTGGGGTCGCTGTGATGGTTCCTCTGACCTTGAGGGTCTGCAGAAAGAGCATGTGCTGACCAATATTATTGAGGAAAAGCTATTCAAATGAGGCCAGGGGTCAGGTTTCAGGGGGCTGAGTCTATCTTCATGATGTCCACTGTCAGCAGGTTGACTGACATCTAGATAGGCCACACCCAAGGGCACAGTAAGAGAAGGGGACACAAGGCACTTCCATGGAACATTCTATCCTAAACAGGGCAAGGGGTAATATTATGAAGGAACAGGTGAGCATAGCTCCACCCATGGGGCTGTAGGAAGACATGCCCAGGTAGGAAGACAGAAGTCACTTGAACCCTAGAAGAGTGGGACAGTCTAGCAGCATGGGTGCTGATGCCACATTGCCCAACAGGGGAGTTAACTCAGTCACATGCGAGGTTGGCCTCCCACATTTTCTATTTTTCCTCCAAAACTACTCCGACTGCCCGATCCTATGTATTCAGTGATATGAATTGCATGAACAGCCAGCAGCCCCTGTGTGCCTTATCCTCTGGAATTTCTGTATTATTTTAAAAGTGATGTGATTCCTCTGAAGTATTTCAGCATGTGCAATGGAAAAGAATAAGACAAATATCAGTGGAAAGGAAGGTTAAGGCCAAATAATATATTTTGTTTTTGCTATATCTTTTTATCTTGGAAACATTTCCAGGCACAAACGGTATGTCATTCTCCAAGCAGTCAATAAAGAGGGCTGTGTGGATGAGAGGAAGAGAAGAGTTCTGGATAAGGCTTGAGTTTTAAAAGCATGAAGATGATTAAGAGAAGTACCTCACCTCATAAATTCCAGGACAGTTTCCAAATTGTCCATGTCTACTATTCATTGAATTTGGAACAGCTAAAAAAAAAAAAAAAAATCTAAAGAACCCTTATTTTCTAGAGAAGGAAAGAAGGCAGATGAAATTTAAATCTCCCTTCTCTGCAACAGAGATTGTGTCAATACCTTCTAAGGATATCCAAGGATGCTCACATTCCTTATGTAAAATAATGCAGCATCTGCATATAACTTATGCCATCCAGCATGCTTTTTATATCAACTCTAGATTATTTCTAATACCTAGTATAATGTAAATGCTATATAAATAGCTGTTATTCTATATTTTTTTAGAAATAGTGACAAAGATCTGCACATATTCAGTACTACATAAATTTTTTTCAGCTAATTTTAAGTGTGCATTTGGTGGATCCTCAAATATGTGAACTGTGGCTGCAGAGGGCTGATGTACACCTTTGTTAAGATTATCTTTAACTGTGCATCAAACTTTTTGGTTTGGAAGCAGTCAAGCAGAATATATAACTTTGTTTATGAAAAAATGTGATAGTATGTTTAGAGAATATAAGTAGAATAAAATGCAGGCAGTTTTTTAAACCAAGTGTGTATTTGTCGGAAAATATCCTTTTTTGTTTTATCTTCCTTTTCTTGGATGTTCAGGTTTTAACTGACAGCTTAACTTGCTTCTGCTAATAAAAGAAGCTGAAAAGAAAAAGCTTGGGCTGTGGATGTAGCTCAGAGCTCTTGACTAGTGTGTTGAGACCCTAGGTTCAATCCTCAGCAACGTCAACCCCCGCCCCTCTCCCCTCAAAAAAGCAGCAGCTCAGTTTGGTCTTCATTCTTGACTGACATGAACAGAGGATTATATGCCAGTTAGTTTCTCTGTGAAGACCTTCCTGACTCATTCCCTTCTTCCTTTTTTCCAGGGAGTTCAGTGCTTGGTGGTGTGTGTGTGTGTGTGTGTGTGTGTGTATGTATTGAACCCACAGCTTTCTGTGGGCCAGGCAAGTTCTCTACTAGTGAGCCACACCCCCAGCCCTTTTTAAATTTTATTTTGAGACATGGTCTTGCTGAGTTGCCTGGCTGATTTTTGATTCTCCTGTCTCAAGACTCCTAAGGGAGCTGGGATTACAAGTGTGTGCCACAACTCCTGGTTTGTCCATGCCTTTTTGATACAACTTACTGTTGTCAAAGGCTGGGGCTGTAGCTCAGTAGTAGAGTAAAATTCTCAGCCTATATGCCAGCTTTTTTCTCTCAAAGGATCTTTGAGTTGAGATTTGTTTGACATTGCTTATCCTCAGACATCTCCGACATTCCACATCAACTCCTTTGTGAACTTCTCTTTGTACAGCTTTTAATATTCCCTTGAGTTCTGGTCTTGCCAGTCTTCTCATGCTACTTACTCATCTTAAGCAATATCACCAATGTTTATGGTTTTAACTACTACCTACATGCAGATGATTCAAGTATATTCCTATAACCTACAGCTCTCTTGAGCTTCAGACTCATAAAACCAACTGTCTAATGAGCCTCTCAAATACAGTAAATCCCAACCTTATTATCTTTTCCCCTTTATGTATCATCCTACATATGAGTCCTTTTGCAATGATGACACCACTTTTGTTATACAAGTTAAACTGTGAGTCATTCTGTCTCCTTTTACCCAAATCATATCTCATGGTTTTCTTACCCGATGAAAAATCTCCAACTCCTTTGCATGATACATAAGTCCATGCAAATCTGGTAAACGTTTAACAATTAGCTCTGGGGAAAAAAAAAAAAAAACAGAACCCAAATTTGTAGCATTTGCCAACACCCATGGCATAAATTGAGATTTTTGAAACTACTACCATGACATCTCTGAATACAAAACTGAAAGAAGAAATGCCCGCTTAGCACATGATTACATAGTATTTATACCATATAGAGACACTCAGCACAAATATTCTTAAGAACACAGGTAACAAGAAAGTATAGCAAAATAAACCAACAAGCAATTGGTCTTGAGTATTTAAACTTTGTAAAACAGCAAGAATAAGTACATATAATTTACTTGCTAATTACCGCTGAATTTAATAATTGGTTCTCAAAATTCCTGAAAACATTTTTTGTGTCACTTCCTTTTAATCCTCTGCTTTATTGATACTAGAACATTTTCTTCTTAATTAAGCTACCTTTTTCCAGCTACCTTTCATAGCCCTTTTTCCTCACCCCATCTACCTGGCAAATACCTATTCCTCTTTCAATACTTAAAGTCATCTCATTTATAAAACCTAGTTCCCTGACCTCTTCCTCTAATAATTGTAACAACCTGAGTACCTGGCATTTACTCTTTACAAGTTTAACTTTGCAGCTAAACCAAGGTTTTATGTTTCATTCTTTGTGTGTGTGTGTGTGTGTGTGTGTGTGTCTGATACATATATGAGCTCTTGAAAATTTGTTGGGAAAAAAAAAACTATAATGCTAGTAGGTATTCAGAAAATTTCCATTGTCACACCTCTGTCCCTGCAGGAGATCAAGCATTTCTCTCTTTCCTTCCTCCCTCCCTCCCTCCCTCCCTCTCCCTCTTTTTCCCTCTCCCTCTCCTCTCTTGCTCTCTCCTTCCTCTAGATTTCTGGACATAATTTAACCTATGCCTTGATGTGGTCCCCATCAGCCACTGTATCCTCTCCAGAATCATAGGCTCAACATTCACTTAAAGCACCTCAGCTATTCTGTTATTGTAAGAAAACTTTGGATACAAAAGATGGAGTGGGGGGAGGCAATTGTGCATCTTTAGAATTGTATCCCTCTTTGTATATCAAACCAAGGTCTTCCTTAGAACAATTCCAGCCATGGAGAAAGATATATGCTTTCTGTGTGAGCCTCTGTCCCCTGAGTCCCAGGTTGGTACTAACCTTATTGCTGCCACCCAAGATGCAAATAGTGATTTCTGTAATTCTGCTGATGAGCTCCCTTCTCTCAACTCTCTTCCTAAGTTTTGAGTGTCTGGAACTTCTTTAGAATTTTTTTCACTGAAATTCCATGCAGCATCAAGGCCTGCATCAGTCAGCCCTTCCCTTATTTATTTCTAAACCTTCTCTCCTAAAGGCTACTGGTTCTTTCTCACACTCTTGTCTTTCCCAGAGTTTGTTCTTCTAGGTCTTCAAATACTGACCACTAAGTCTTTTCTCAGGCACACCACTCACATATCATCTAAGTAATTAAATTTTCTAGACCTCAGGCATCAGAAGATTTTTCTCAATACATATATTATTTGAAAAGTTAATTCCTGCATGGCTTCTGATCAATTTTCCACAAGGACAATGATCACCGTCCCATTCATATACCAGAATTGCTGTTTCTAATGTGTTTGATTCAATTTATCAATCCTTTCTAGAACCAGAATTATGCTTTATTTTTTCCAGTCCAGTATTATGACAATTGAGCACTCAGTAAATATTTGTTCAATGAAGAAATGAACCAAAGAACAAATATTTGAGTTTTTTTTTAATGGTTTTGTTTTGTTTTGGTTTTGCATGAAAAGTACCCAGAGACTTACACAACCCCAGTGAGACTCAATCTATCCTCAAGCATCTTACACTCTAGGAGGACAAAATGCCAAGCCCCTTGACTGTTACAATAATTTCAGGCCAATTTAAACCAAATGATTTATCCTTAGGTCTGTTTGCTGATGCAAATATAATATTATGTTACCACCAACAGTCTTCAGTTGTGCCTTCATGGTCCTTAATTGAAATAAACGGATGATGTTTCTACACTCTACCAAATTCTTTCATTCTTAAGAATGTATAGGACACGAATTTATAAAACTTGCTCTTAATGTCTTTTATTCTAAAATAGCACTAAAAAGATAAAGCTCTTGAATCAAACTAGATGGAAGCACAACAGTTCTCCACACCATGGAAGTTTCTGGATGAAGCTGGGCTGGCAGTTGAAAAAATAAATGATTGCAGCTCTCAGTTTCTCTCATCCTGCCCTGCCACACAATTGTTACGTTAGGGCAGGGAGAAAGAGGTTTGGCTATTCCTGCCAGATGGACAGTTAGCAAAAGGGACCCTCCTAGGGGCCCTTATCCCCTCGTGCAGCTGTTTGCCGATCTAGCATACAATTGCTGTCTCCCAGAAGGGGGAGAATGGTGCATCCAAGAAAGGAGCTCCCAGCGGGAGGGAGGTTGGCTGGTTTGCCCGACGACACAGGAGAGGGTTGGCTTTTGGAGGGCTCTTAGCAACAGCCCTGATTTGACCCCCGTCAACCCTGAGAAAATCAAATCAGCGTGCTATTCTTCCAGGCGCGATGCATCATCAGCAGCTGTAGGTCAAGGCAGCGTTCCTCTGGGCCTGTTAATTACCTGCTCTTGGCGCTCTCTCCATCGCTGCCTTTGCAAAGCGCTACTGAGAAGTGGAGGAAACGACCACTACCCCTCCCCCTCACTGCCTGGGGGTTCAGGCTCGATTGTGAGTCCCTGTACATACATCATCTCGTCTCGTTGAGAGGCGGGACTGGGGGGGGGGGGTTCTAGCCCCCCTGGACAGGCTGAGGTTTTATTTTAGAGTCACTGGCGCGTGGCTGCGCTTTCCTTTCCCGTTTGTAGGTGAAACCCCATTGGCTTCATTGGCTCCTTCATTTAAACCACGCCCGGCTTTCTGCCCGTTTCGCTGCTGCCTGGCCCGGCCGCCCAGCCGCATCCCAGACCTGTTCGCAGGGAGCCCGGGCGCTGTTGCGGCTGCTATTGTGTGGATGCCGCGCGTGTCCTCTCTTCTCTTCCAGAGATGGCTAACAGGGGCCCCAGTTATGGCTTAAGCCGAGAGGTACAGGAGAAAATCGAGCAGAAGTACGACGCGGACCTGGAGAACAAGCTGGTGGACTGGATCATCCTGCAGTGCGCCGAGGACATAGAGCACCCGCCCCCCGGCAGGACCCATTTTCAGAAATGGTTAATGGACGGGACGGTAAGACCGGCAGCGATCTTGTTGCTGGGGTGGTGGACAGGAAAACCCTTCCCAGGGCTCTTTCTTTCAATGCGAGGTCGCGGGAGGAGCTGCTGTTGCCAAGTCTTTCTCACGGGAAGGATGGGGATGCCTTTATTTCTTCTGGGTTGGAAAATTCGTGCTCCCTGCACAATTCCCTAGCTGGCTCCGAGGATTTCCCCATCTATCCAAGCTTCACAGCTTCCTTCTGAGTTGTCGGCAATTTTGAGGCCCTCGTGATTTTTCCATTGAGAATAGAGATAAATATTTCCTTGCGATCTCTGCAGCCTTCTTGGTGCATCAGTGCTTCTGGGCCAGTCCTTCCCCCAGGGGAACCTGCTGGTTACACAGTAAAACAAAGGATGGGGGTGGGGGTAGCCTCCTTCCCAACCTCTGGGAACCAGGCTCCCTGGAGGTGCTCAATGGCCATTTGTGGATGGATGGGTTCTCAGGAACCTGAAGGGAGTCCTTCTTTGATAATGCTGTCGTGTGTTTTGGGGATTTGAGGACCACAGGCTCAACTGAATCAAACAAGTCCATCTCTTCTTGCAAGCTGTGATTTATTGTTACATAACTGCTATTCCTCGTATTTGTTGAGTAGCCCAGGACTTGGGTTATAGGTGTCTGGGTAAAGATACCACCCAGTGTTCAAGTTCTTTTATACATCATTAACACATATGGGATGAGTTATTGAAAACTGATTCTGATCTGTCTTTGGTACAGGGCAAATCAGAACCCACCCTTCCTCCCCCCAGAAACCATAAACTCATCTCTTCATTAAAAGTGTGGAATCATGTTCCTCATCACCTTGTGCCATTCCCTATTTGTAAATATTCTTTCCTTTGTCCTGAAAAGGGAATAAGGAGGAATAAGAAGGGAATAGGCTGCAGGGCTCTCTATAGTCAGGTGCAGCCCTGGGAATAGGGTGATCTGAGTTTTGGGGGTGTAGTGTGGGAGCCTGACTGCAAAACCCTGAACCCATGCTTTCTTGGGGCCTGTGACTTGCTCTTACCAAACCTGGTGAGCTGTGCCTTGTGCTGTGCATATTGTGGGGGAGGGATTCACTTCTCATTTATGATATTGATTACAAAGGGAAACACTGATTCTGTGTCCCCACCCCACCCCCTTCAGGTCCTGTGCAAGCTGATAAACAGTTTATATCCACCAGGACAAGAGCCCATCCCTAAGATCTCAGAGTCAAAGATGGCTTTTAAGCAGATGGAGCAAATCTCCCAGTTCCTAAAAGCTGCGGAGATCTATGGCGTCAGGACCACTGACATTTTTCAGACGGTGGATCTATGGGAAGGTAAACAGCCCTTCAACCTCTGGGTCTGTTCTCCCCACCTCGCACCCCTCCCCTTTGCCCTATCTCTTTGTGAAAGCCACTCAGGATGTTCTTCCCTGTGCCTTCGGTGTGTGGGGAGTGCTCTCAGCAGCCCTATTAGCCTCCCTCTTTGTGATGCTCTTTCAAAAGGGGTACTTTCCTCTAGGAATGCACACCCTGAGGACACTGGCAAAGGATCTCAGAGAACTAGTGCCATAAACAGAATCCTCGTAGAGAGGAAGCAAAAATGGTCACATGGATGCCTTTTATTCCTGTTGCCCTCCCATAGCAAATCATAGCTCCTGGAGGAGAAGGGAGGCAGGGGGCCAGTGTGCTTCTGACTCACCAGCAGCAAGGCTTACAGACAAAGCCATCTGGTGCAATGTTGTCATTCAACCGGAGAAATAAATAGCACTTGAATCTTTTAAACAATTATCTGGGAGCTTGGTGACTATACCTTTCACATAGGTGTTCTGCTGATAGGGAGTGTGACAATTTTTTTTTTTTCTTTCACCTTTGTGAAGTGACCTGGTGAGGAAATCTTACAAAGGCATAAAAATCAAATTGCATTCTTAGAAACATTTAGCATTCCACCTTTATTGGGGGAATGATGTGAATGGAGACACTATCAAGGCCTAGTGTCCCTTTAAAACCTGCATTTCCATCCATGTAGCTGAATCCTTTCTCAACTGAGGACTGCCCGAGGCACTGAGAGATGTGGACTAGTCTAAGCAGGACTGCCAGATTGACACTCACATGTTCATTGTCACTAGTCATTTCTCACGTGTTCATTGTCACTAGCCATCATCATGGCCTGACCAATAGGATCCCCAGGCTAGTGACCCAAATGGCTTTGCTGACAGTGAAAATGTATAATGTTCCTCTGATCAAAAGGCAAGGCATTTTAAAGGGTATTCAGAGGGTGGTTGGAAGAGATTTCTAGCAGAGGAGCACTCTACCAAACAAGTTATAAACAGTTACCTCCGTAATCCTCAGTTACCTACTTAGGCCATTTCATGTTCCCTGACAGATAAGTAGTTAAAATCCTAAGATGCCAAGAGATTTACTTTGCTTTTTGCCATTAATTTAAAAACTCAGATACCCCAAAATTCGGGCCAGGTTACTGGACTTCATGGACAGTTGCCTCTAAATTCCTGTGTGCCATGGTCCAGCCTTGGTGCCTGCTTTCTAGATCAAACCCATAATGAGTTTCCTGAGTTAATAAAGAGAGCTATGGGTTATTGATGTTCTCCTGTACACTAGGCTTTGGATAAGTGCTTTACTGAATAATGCCAATCACTTCTTCCAACAAAATTATAAGGTAAGTGTTTTTCATTTCCCCATTTCACAGGTGTTGAAGTATGCCCATGGTTATGTGTGTCCGTCCAAGAACTAGTAATTAGAAGAGCTGGGACTCAAACCCAGGCCCTCTGATGCCAAAGAATAGGGCCTTAATTAGTCTGCCAAGGCATTCTTTGGCCAGGAAGCCTAGTTTCCTTCTCTTACACCATGAAGATGCTGTTGAGTCACAGTAGTGACTAGCCTCTGCTGCTGTTGATGTTGATCATGACAATGACAACAATGAGGAGGATGAGTCAAAGCTGTGTGGGACTGAAGGATGGGGAGTTAGTGTGGATGGAAGGGACCCTCCAAGTGCAGGAAGTATGTAGGAGTAGTAAATTGTGAGGTCTGTAGAAGGCAGGGATCCCAAGGGAGCTTTCCTGTTTTTACATTACTAAGGAGGCTTTACTCCCCTTCCCCCTTTGCCTAAAGACCATGAAGGTGAGCTTTACACGGGGGAGGTACTCACCGCAAGAGGAATGGGGCGTGGGGAGCAAGGATCCCTAATGAACAGCTTGCTGGAGGTCTACACCACCTGCTCCAGCCCCCTGTGTTGGATCCTCCTTAAGGAACAGGAAGACTAAGAGGTGTGACCGTGGTAGCCTGAGATAGGGCTGTGGACATTTGGCCCCAGGATAGGATAATTCTTCTAGAAAAGGAGAAAAAGAAACACTAAGGGTCCTATCACCAGCACAGAAGAAGGATCAGCTTTTAAAGGAAAGAAGGAAAGAGATTCATTCCAAGGGTGCTGTCACTGATGGTAGTTAGAAGAACTCTATGTAGACTCTCCAGAAGGCTGGGGAGAGTTGAGAGTGTAGACAACAGGGAGGTAGATGCTTAGGAGTTTCTTAATGACGCCCCCGCCTCTGTGGGGGTCAGAGGTTCAGGGAGATAGGTTATGATTTGGTCAGCATTCTTGATATTTCCCAGTACCTCTGTTTGAAGCTCTGGCCAGAGCTGGTTACTCTATATTTGATCACAGGTAGAAAAGCTGGTTTCTTTGAACAGAGAAGCAGGGAGGGTGGGGAATCATGGATCTAGCAAGCAAGGCCAGAGTTCTTGCTCAAGAGTTGGATGCTACTCACGACTTTTGCAATGACTAAGCTGAAATCAAAGGGCTGTTGCAGAACAGAGTTGGCATGTTTTTTGTGTGTCTGCATTCACGTGAAGGTGTACAAGTTGTATACACAGCTATTGGACTAGCTGTTTTGTTCAGTCCCACACTCAACTTACAATTCTACCCTCTGACGGAGGTTTTAATTCCATCCTCACATGTCAGTTTACTGTTCCCAATTCCCTGCACCATGGCTGTGGTAGCCATGGCGTGGTGGTTATGGCTGCTGTGGCCCCAGCCCTCTTTTCCTGGGCATTTCTCTTCCTCCTCTGCAGGCATTTTATACTCAACTGCTCTCAATCCCCCATTTTCCTGGCTTGACCTTTTCTTCCTACGCAAAGATCTGCTTGCCCAGAGATGCCTGATGACTTTCCAGGCTGCCTCTCTTGCAAACCAGTAAAACTGCAGAAGTCCAATATTGCCAAATGCTTTCTTGTTTAGACTTCAATTATTTATAGAAGCAGGGGCCCCAGATACATCTATCATCCTTAAGCCCTTTTGAGGTGAAATATTTGGAATTGACTTGGGAACAATCAGAATACAAGATTCTTCCAAAAGGAACCCAAGGCTCTATGGTCCAGGAAAACACCTGGTCACAGGGGCATTGTAGACAAAAGCTACTAAAGTCCCCTCTAAAGGAAGCTGGGGTGACCAACTCCTTCTGGTGATAGAGAAGAAGGGAGGACAGTTTTGAAGAATGGAAGGAGGCTGGGGGTGTTTTTCTCTAGGATTAAAGAAGGTAAGTATCCTGGCAGATTATTTTCCAGTTTGCTGTGGATGCTGGGTGAGATGAGGTGGAGTCAGCTGAGCTGTCTATGACACAGAGGAGAGTGTGCTGTAGGTAAGACTGTACCATCTTTTCTGAGAACAGAAAGGAGAAAAGAGAAAAAGAGGAGCAAGAAAGGGAGGGGTGTGTGTGTGTGTGTGTGTGTGTGTGTGTGTGTGTTAGAGAACACATGAGAGTGAGTGTGCTAATACAGGATCTGATTAGAAAGACTGCAGTTAAAGCTTACCCTGGAAGATAGAAGAGAGTACAGACCCCTGAGTCAGAAATTAGACTTCCTGGTTCAAATCTGTGCCTCACTGCTTTTTAATTAACCTCTATGCCTCAGTTTTCTCAAGTGTAAAATGGGGCTAATAGTACCTACTTCTCAGGGTTGATATGGAGAATAAATGAGGGATACATTAGAAATGTTTAGAATATTGTCTGGAAAAAGTAGAGTATATGAAGTGTTGGCAGCATAGAATTATTCATGTCATTGTCCTGTCCTTTCTAAGACTAATAGCAAGTAAGAGATGAAGGAATGAAGCTGGAAAGGCGCTCTTCTTAGACTAAATTAATGGCCACACACAGGAGCTGATAGGGTGGCCTGTTTGACCTTTGCCCTCTCTCCCATCTGCGGATCCTTCTTAGGTCATCCTCTAAACAGGAGGGTGAACGCTCCACAAGTCATTTGATTGACTTGTCTCTCAGAGGTCGTTGCTTTTTTGGTATCTTTCCCCAGGACTTGGAGCTTGGCCAATTTCAGACCCAGAAATGGAACAGCATGAGTTTGGGAGTAAGAAGGGATGGAAACCCTTCTTCTGCTGAATACCAGCAGCATGACCTTGTTGAGGTTGCTTGGCCTCTGCTCTCTTCTGTGTAAACAAGTCTAGTGTCTCCCACGTAGATTTATTATAAGGATCAAGTGTAAAAAGCTTAGCACTGTGCCTGGCTCCTAGACACCTAATAAATATTGGCTTCTCTTCCCCTACCATTAGCCCATCTGTAACTGACCTTTCTTGTTTATTTGTATAACCACTTGGCAGGTGTTAAACATAAGGAATTCTAGAATGTCAGAGCAGGCAAGGCTTAAAGATCAACCAATCCAATTATTCTTCTCAGTGAACTCACTGATGAGGACCCTGGCTTACGTGGTTTTGTCATTCCTGCTCCCTTCCGTTGATGACTCAGAGTTGAGGGTTGTGGTTTACACTAGAAGTGGAGAGTCTGGAAGGTTCAAATATATTCTTCGGCGAGGTGTCACTATATGTGCCATTCCTCAACAGCAAGAGCAGAAGAGACATTCCACCCAGTGTGAGATATTTTGGGATGCTGCGAGGTACTTGAGGCATCACAAATGCCTGCTACTTGACGCTTCCTTTTCTATCAGCATAGCTTTCATTGCTTTTGTTCTAAGTGGCTGCTGACAATCGTATTTGATTTTTCTCAACCTCTGGCCTGCATCAGAATCACTTGGTAATCTTGGGAAAATACAGATTGGTAGGTCACAATTCCAGTTTCTGAGGTATTGACTGTGGGGTGAGGTCCAAGAACTTGCATTTCTTACCAATTTGCAGGTGATGCACCTTCTGCTGGCCTGGGAACCCCACTTTGAGAACCACTATCCTACCCTATTTCACCATCCTGGGGAGGAAAGCAACAGAAATTTATAAAACCTACAGAACAAATCCAACCTACCCTTTGGCATTTTTCCTTTGACAACAGCAGTATTTTCTCTACCTTGAGTGTAAAACCGAGAGCTATGCCTAAGTTATTATTATTCAGGGAAATAAGAAATTATTTTTATTCCACTTATTGCTTTCTCTGTAAGTGCAAGAAATATTATTTTAGGAATCCAGTTTCCAAGAGGCAAAAGGCTGGGTTGAGATTGATATAAAATAGAAGTAACTCTGAAAAATACAAATTTGACTTAAGACTGGTTTTCAGTGTTAAAAGTAGAAATAGAAAGTAGAGCATGGCCCACCCAACTTTCCTACCCAAGTGATTTCTCTATTGCCTTTTTTCTCTCTTAATCCCTCTCATTTTTTCTTTCCAAAGATATGCATAAGATACCTTAGAAGTAAAAAAAATTCAGAGAACAAAATTCTTGTTAAACTATCTGTGTGGTAATGTCTCTCAAACTTTACCAGCATTAAGAATCCTTGGGTTGGATCATTATGATGCAGAACCTCTGGCCCCACTCCCCAGAGATTATAATTTAATAGTCTGGGGTACATGACTGTATTTGGAGTAACAGTACTTTGTGATAAAATGTGAAGTGAGGAATTCTCCATTGTCAAATAAGTGTCCGTTGCTACCTGACACTCTATTTTAGATTTTCCAGGTGAGAGAGAGAGCTACCATCCACCCTACCAACCTTTTTAAGTTTTTTAAAGGTTATTTCTTTCATTAAGGTTTAAGTTCACAACAAAATTAAGAGACTCGTATTTCCCATATGCCCACTGCCCGTCAAATGCCTAGCCTCCCATTATCAGTGTTCCCTACCAGAGTGGTAATTAATTAATAAACCTATATTGACACTACATTATCACACAAAGCCCACAGTTTACACTAGGGTTCACCCTTGCTGTTGTGCATTCTGTGGGTTTGGATAAATGTGTATCCACCATTGTAGTCTTATACAGCATATTTTCACTGTTTTAAAAATCCTTTGTGGTACATATTTTATCCGTCCCCAACCCCAACCCTGGCAATCACTGATATTTTTATATTCTCCCTAGTTTTGCCTTGTCCGGAGTGTCATGTAGTTGGAATGATACAGTGCATAGCCCTTTCCAATTCTCCCAGCATTTTAAAAAAATTTCAAGTCTAATGTTAACTTCCTCCTATGACAGAGGTCTGGAAAAAAATACAGAGACTGATCAAAATCCCAAGATGTCAGTGTTAATATGGCCTCTCCTCTTCCCTATGTCACTTTTCTTCTTATGGTTAGTGGTCTATTCTTAGATCACCATCAAGACTCAATCTCATTTCTGCTGCATCTAGAAAATTCTCAACCTCTGGTTTGTCCTTTTTTAGACTATTTTTCTCCTTTATTTTCTTGGAAGAATGGCCTTGAATAGTGGTGTTCAAGCCGACTTGAGGAGCCACAAGCATCCAGCAAAACATCCAGGGACACTCTCAGGGAGCAACATGATACTAAGTTGCCAGAGCTCTGGGATGGCTCCCAACTTGGGTCAAAGCCCTTCTAATGATAGGTTTTGCTTTTTGACTTTGTGAAAGAAGTCATTGCTTAGCAAATATTATTTAATATTCATGACATGCCGGACATTGTGATATTTAATGAAATTGGAAACTAAAGTATTAGAGCAATGCTTGCCTGTCCATTTGGCTATCTCAGAATCATCTCAAAAGATTGCCCCAGAACCTGAATATTTAAGATGCTTAGGTAATTCTGATGCTTTGTTAAGTCACCACGTTAAAAAAAAGATAAAGAAAGAACAGATTTTTTTTCCAGCTTGCCTGATGATTTAAATCACCTGAGGAGTTTATTAAAAATGTAGACTCCCACTACTGGCCAAATTAGTCTCTCAAGAGAATAACCTTAAAATTCATATTTTTAAAAAGATGACCCCCACCCATATCCCAAGAAGCCAAGAAGCTTGGGAATCTACTCTGAATCAACTGTGTATGGCCATTTTTTATACTTGCGTGGTTTTGAAGGCTTCACAACAAGGCAGATGTTATACTTTGATACAAGCAGTTTAGCTTTTGTTGTTTTATTCGCAGAACTGTTCACAGGTCTTCTTAAACATCATTGATTCTTCATACATTTCAGTTTTTGTTACCTGGTTACAGAAATCGGCCTCCACAAGTGGCCCCAACTCCTTCTTCATGCCCCTCTCATCTAACAGTACATACTTGACAGGACTTCTGAACTGGCAAGAGAGGTCAGGCTGCAAAAAGGCCCTCTTACTGTCTCATCAGCCCAGGAGTGGTGAAAGTCTCCACAAGGAGCCTCTAGTAGAAAGTATGCTATCCTGACGAGACAATAAGCTAGACATGAACTGGTCACAGATGGCAGATTTCTAGTCATAATATTAGTTAAAATCTTGACAATAATTCACTTGGTCAGCACACTGATTCTAACAGCTTTTCTTTGCTTTAATGTTATTTGGGTAAAGATACAAAAAAAGTTATTCCAGATGAAAGCATTCCAAAACTTATGGCTATTGGGGGTTGATGCATTTGATCCTGTGAAGCCCAAAACCTGTGTCCTGGTTTTATCTCCCTTGCATTCCCTGTGGCCTGGCACTGAAGCAGACACTGTGACCCCTCCCATCACCCCTGATCACTGGCTCCTGCTAAGGAACATGCTTTCCCATCTAGCCTGCAAGGGGGCCCTTCAAGAGAGGGCATATGGTCAAGTGGACTTTGCATTCAGGCTGATCCAAGCTACAGCTTGGCTCCAATTGACCCATCAGGTGACTCTGGGCATACTAATTAACCTCTATGAGTCAGTTTTCCCATCTGTAGATGGGGAGAAATAATCCCAACTCCATGGGGTTAATTATGATCAGAATAAAGCATCTACCCTATAACTGATATTAAATCTCCTGCCTTGGGACGTTTCTTAAGGGCATATCTTTCTGATTTGTTCTTGTGTAATAATGTTTCCCCCTCCTGGTTTCAGAAACCTGTACATTACAGCCTCCATCAGGTAATCACTTCCTTTTTAACTCTACTGGAATGAGGGTGGGGGTGGTATAATTCTAGGTTCCTGGTCATCTCTCCTTAGCCTGGAACAGCTTTTCCTGTCCCTTCTGGGTTCATGTTTTGCATACATTAATTAGCTCGCCCCTGGTGAAGGAGACTCCTGTGGCTGAACGAAGCTTGCATTTCCCTCATTGCTGCTGGGTGGCAGCTAAGGCTGAGTTGCCCAGGCTTCACATTTCCTCAGACTGGACATTTCAGGACAGGTCTTTCCAACTATCAGAAACAGACTTCTTGTATGCCCTCTGAACAGAGTGGAGAAGATTGGTATGACCTAACCTGAGCCTTCCTATGCTCTGTCATTCTCTTTTAGAATGCTGTGCTTAAGACCAAACCTACTCCATATCGTTTCCCAGAATGAGTCTTTAAAACGTCATTACTACAGTTCTATTAAAGAAAAAAAAAAGCATTCTTTCATACAGTGACAATTACAGAAATGCTTTTCATCTGTGGAAGAAAATGAACAACCATCTCTGCATTTCCTCTCTCTTAATTCCTTGTATTCTTTCTGCCCTTCCCCTTCCATCTGCCGCCCAGATACTCCATTCACCACCCCAGCTGTTCCTTGAATCTGGGGATTCTCCACTGACAGCATTTCATCCTGTATCCATCAGCCAGTCCCACAGGCCTCTCCAGGATCCAGACAATCACCCCGTGGTTAATGCGGGAGGTGGGGGTGGAGGAAGAGAGGCCAGGGAAGGAGGATTTGCTCTCTCTTTGTGTAAATGCACATCCTGGACTGAACTTCCGGTGAGAGCCTTAATTGTTTATTTTATTACAGTTCATACTCCATTCTCACTTTCCATCTGCCTTTGCCCTGTAATTCTGTATTCCCCAGTGACTGAGCTGCAGCAGCCGGGCCAGAGACCACAGATGGCTCACTCTGTCCAAAGAAGGACTTTTCATATTTGCCCTTAACTTTCCCAGCTCCCTGCCAGGCTGAAAGCTCCTTTCCTTTTTAACCAAGTGCCTTTCAAGCTCTTGTATTCCACACTGGTGTCTTGCACAGACCTTTGATCTGCTTTCTAAATAGCAGGTGACCTGCACAGCAGCATCTCTCTCAGCCCAGGGCATGTCACCTGGAAAGGAGGAAAGGAAAAAGGATGGGAGGAGCAGGCTGACTTGCAGGGCCCAACTGCCTCCTCCACAGGCTCCGCTGGTGGCGGTGCTGCCCTTCCCATGCAGGCCACACCTCCCGTGTCTCTTTGCTCTCCTCTCTCACACAAGTGAGTGATTTATTGTCTCCATTTTCTTCCTTTCACCCATCACAAAATAGAGGGCCTTTCATTTGTGTCACATGGAGTGCTTTCTGTGTGGATTTGCTGTTCTCCATTTGCCAGACCTCTGGCCCACTGAGCCAAGTGAATGCTCAATTTGATGAACATGGATGCTTTTAGATGCTTTTAACCCAGATAAAGCGCAAGAGAGGAGTCCACTTGGTGCCTGGTGCAGAATCATTCCATTCAATCCCTTGCTCTGTGGTTTTCTTTTCTCTTTCTAACCTGAGGAAAGTGCTCTTCTGCAGACCAGGTTGCCAGCCCCTCCAGAGGACTTTCCTTCCCGCAGCTTGTAGAACCCACCAAGGCAAGGTCCTCTGCTTAGGACAGGGACCTTTCTAGATGTGAGCTGCAGGTGTTCAGAGTGTTTATTCCTATAGCCAGTACGAGTGGATTGGAAAGGTAACTGATATGAGTGGCGAATAATTAATCAGGCTTGTTTTTGTTCCTTTCTGAGTAATTTGGGACTGGTCACCTTAGGATCACTTTGGTAAGTGTACTTCCAAGTACTTCCCCCTTGAATGTGGTCATCCACAGCCCCTTATCAGAATTTCTGTCCTGGGTGTGCAGCTACATCCTTCCAGATTTCCTTGGCCCTGACACACACTTGGCTTTAATCTCTTCATTGGCTTCCAGGGAAGGACATGGCAGCTGTGCAGAGGACCCTGATGGCTCTAGGCAGTGTTGCAGTCACCAAGGATGATGGCTGCTACCGGGGAGAGCCATCCTGGTTCCACAGGTAAAAGTTCCTTCTCTGCCTCCTGCAGCAGACAGTTAAAGAGAGGATCAGAAGCCTAGGAGCTCCCCAGGGCCATTTGTATACAGAGCCCCCAGGAGTAAGCGCTCTTGGCCTCAACTGAGTCCCCCCAGCATTCTACCCAGGGCAGAGAGAGTAGGGCCTTTCTTATTAGATACCTGGATCCTCCTGCTCGGCCAGGTGCCTCTCCTGAGGATCAGTGGGAATGGATGGTCGTTTTTAGAAGCAGTTTGATGTCTGTACTTGGTTTATTAAGACCTGAGAAGCCCTGAGTATTCCACCCCCAACTCACTCACTCACCTACTTCCTCCCTCCCTTCCTTCTTTCCTCCCTCTTTTTATTTTTCTTTGTGTACTTAATGAAGATTAAATATATCCTGTTTGCCAAATACTGTCCTGGTTAATATCTGCTATTCCAATGCATTAATAATAACACCCTCTTCCCAAAATTTTCCCAGTCTGGATGATAAATCATATGGACATCTCAGGTTACTAAAAGGATTTTTTGGGGGATTTTTCTTTTGGAGGTAGGGTAAGGACAGGGAAGGTGGGAAGTTAAATTGCATAGCTTTATTCATAGCAAATAATTGGTAAATAATTTCCCTGATGCCCTTTTCTTGTCATTGAGAGTTATAAAAATGTACCAGCTTATGTCACTTTTTAAAGTCACTTTTTAACGTATTTTTAAAGATGAATTGACTGTTTGTTTATTTATTTTTTAATTTTTGGTGGTGCTGGGGATTGAACCCGGGGCCTTAGTGCATGGGAAGCAAGTGCTCCACTGACTGAGCTATATCCCCAGCCCTCTAGCTTGTGTCATTTTAAATGACCTTGGTTTGAAAAATCTCCTCAATATTGATCCATTGAATATTGATCCAGCATTATTAGTATGTGGCTACAAATCCAAAACTATTTGCTACCTGGCTCTTAAGCAAAGTCTTCAGACCTCTGACCTAGAGTAAGACATTTGCCCTTGTTAACTCCTAGGTCCCTCAGCTTTAAAATGGAACATGAATCCTTGGTCCTGTGCAGGAAGGGTGGAAGGGGGTTAATGGCATGGTTTGTAAGAAGCATTGACTTTGTTTCAGAAGAGCGGAGATAACTGTGAGAAGATGCAGAATGAGATGGCTGAAAATGGTGGAAAAGAAATAAATGAGAGTGGGGAGAAGGGGAAAAAAAAGAAGGAAAGATGAAAGTCAGTTCCCCAGGGAGGCAGCCACAGATTCTCCTTTTCTCTTTGCTGGAAATTCTGAAAAACATCTGGGCTTCTAAGGATAGGGGCCCAAGCCTCAGGGAAGGGCAAGGATTGGGGTAGGTCCTGGCTCAGGGTGGGCCTGCTGGTCTATTGGATGATCTTGGATAGAGCCCATCTAACTGTACATCTTGACAAGGCTTTGAAATCTGTCACATGACATTATTCCATCTCACTCTCCCCATCCAGGAAAGCTCAGCAGAATCGAAGAGGATTTTCAGAGGAGCAGCTTCGCCAGGGGCAGAACGTAATTGGCCTGCAGATGGGTAGCAACAAGGGAGCCTCCCAGGCAGGCATGACTGGGTATGGGATGCCCAGGCAGATCATGTAAGGTGCCGCATCCTGCCCCCCGTAGAGAGGACCAATGTTCCACCCCACAGTCTCTATGAAAAAGAAATAGGTAGTCAGTCACCTTCTGACCTTCTCCTCTTTCTCAAAGCCTCCTCTCCCTGGTTTCTGCAAGTGCTGCATTTCTGCTGAGAATCCACGTTGCCTACTGCTGCCACCTTCTGTTCTTTTAGAACTATGCAAGGACTTCGCTTCCTTCCTCTTACTGAGCTCTTTCTGTGCCCTGAAGTCCCCATTTGATTATTTATTTATTTATTTGCCAAAAATCTCCCTGGTCAACTTATAGAACACACCTAATAAACAAATTAGTCTTGTGTCTTAACGTGTTCGGTTCACTCTGTGTCTTTGGGACTTTGCAGACTGGGTTGATTTCTCTTAAATTCAAGAGACCCATAGGATGGAATTAAGCTTTAGCTGTAGAAATATGGTTAGCTATGAGGAAGTTCTCCAGTATAATGTTTATATTGGCAATTGCAGCAGAAAATTTAGAAATAGTTTTGCCCACCACAGAGCTTAAAGCTGTGAGTTCAAGAACAAGGTCTTTGGCCCCCACATATTTTTTGAGTACCTACTCCGTGCTTATTATGCTAGACCTTGTAGAGGATGCAGGAATGAACATGGCAAAGCCCCAGTTCTTAAGGAACTCTTATACAGGTGCCAGGAAACCCCTGCTGGGTGGCTGATGGACAGATGTATGGATGATTTTTACTGAATGATGAGTGGATAAATGGTGAAATGGATGAGCAGTTTTCAATTCATTAATATTCCTGCTACAGGTAATATCTTGGGTCTGAGCTGACATTTATAGTTTTTTCATCATCTAAGAGTTATGGGCTACGTAGTTTGCTCTCCTAAAGTCATCTATAGGGTCTAAACCCCTAACACTCTTGAATATTGCCTAATATTGAGATCTGCTTATGATGGGAAAGTTTTCAAGATTTTTTTTTTGTTCATGAATAGGAAAATTAAGAGGGCAAATAAGCTGGGGACTTTTGATTTATATTATCCTTTCCTACAAAATAAACTTATTAGAAACTAATGCAATAATTTATAATTTTATTCATATAATGAGTCATGAGTTAGCATATAAATAAGACTAGAGACATTGTTACTCTTTAAATGTTTGGGCAGTAGTTTTTCAGACTGTTCTTCACAGTCCTAAGTTTCCTTAGGCTTCCATGAGATGCCTCTTAATGTACCCTCGAGGAGTCCCTGAGACCCTTTGATAGCTGCTGGTGAGTGGTCCAACACATCACCCCAACATGGTTGCCAAATTCTTTCCTCAAACCTTACCTTGGTGTTGCCAAAAAGTAAGAAAATGAGGTTGATGGATACCAAAATGAAATAACACTGGGAGGACATTCCTAGAGAGAGAGAAGGTGCTAAGGTTTGGGATGAGGGTAGGAGGTCTGGGAGAGCCACCATTAAGGAGGAGACAGGTTTTAGGGGGGCATTCCAGCTATCCTTTGTCCTATCTTCCACACTGCCCTGGCTCCACCATTGGTATACCAGAGACACTGAGAGTCAGGGAAACAGCCAAATCAGCTCAGACCCAGTAGGAAGCAGCCTGCCAAATCCAGGGCAGAGCTGGAGCCCAGCTGGAGTGAGGAGCAGGTAATAGAACATTAGTAGACTTGCCAGCACTTGGACACTTTCTCCTCCCAACATGATCCCACCTGCCACTCCAGTTCCCACCCCTTCATTCCTATTTGAAAACTGCATCCTAGAGATGGGCTTTGGACAAATTTGAAGCCCCAGGGCAAAGGCTTACTACTGTGATTGGTGGACAGGCGATAAACAGAGAATAAAGAGCCCAGTTTGTAATTTCAAAGAATCCCTGCCTCAATATTTTTTCAGCTCTCTCAGATCACCATAATTGATCTGAACTTGGGCCTGAGATTCTTCTCCTTTCTCTTCACTTTGCGCTTGAAGATGACCTCAGGGAAATACAGGTTCACGGGTAGCAACTGAAGACCCTTGAAGAGTGAAAGCACTGTCATGATCAGATGAAAGAATCACTTAGAGTCAACCTAATAAACCTAATAACATTCAAATAATGATAAGGGAAAATATTAGAAACATGAAACAATGCATTACAAAGAAAAAGTCAACCAGAGATGAGGAACTTCAACAAAAATAAAACGAATAGTTAGGATTGGTAGCAGAAAGATGCAAAGAATAAGTTAGTAAATTGAAGTACCCAAACAAAGCATGTTATAAAAGATAATAGGCACAGGGATAGGGGTGTAGCCAAGTGATATAGTGCTTGCCTATCATGCATGAGGTTGGGTTTGATCCCCAGCAGCCAAAAATATTAATAATGATGATAACAGGCACAAAGAGTAAACAAAAAAGAAATATTAGAAATAGGAGTTAATAATTCATATAATTAGGATCTAGGAAGGAGAGGAAAAATTTAAAGAAATAATTTTGAGACTTTCCTAGAATAAAAAAGAGGCAAGAACAGTTTTTAAAAACTATATGTAGATACGATTTTTATCTTTATTATACACGCACACACACACAAAAAAAATGGACTATATTACTCAGCCATAAAAGAGAATGACTTTTGCCAGCAAATGGATGGATCTGGAGACTCTCATGCTGAGGGAAATAGCCAATCCCAAAAAACCAAAGTTTAGTTGTTCTTTCTGATATGCAGATGCTAATACACAACAAGGTGGGGAGAAGGGAAGAATAGAAGTTCAGCGGATTAGACAAAGGGGAATGAAGGGAAAGGAGGGAGGATGGGAATAGAAAAGACAGTGGAATGAATCTGATATAACTTTCCTGTGTTCATATATGAGTATACTACCAATGAAACTCCACATCATGTACAACCACAATGGGATCCTAATTAGAATAGGTTATATGCCATGTAAGTAAAGTATCTCAAAATATACCCTATGGCCATGTATATCAAAAAAGAACAAATATTTAAAAAAACAAAAGTGAATAGAAAACTCCCAAAGCTTTTAAAAAGTAAAGCCTACCACATATAAGATAAAAGAATCAGATTGACTTTGGAATTCTCAACAGTAACCCTGGGCTTGTGGAGTAATATTTTCAAGGCGTTAAAGGTGAAAAAAAAAAAAAACACAGGATTTTCTGTTTAATTAATTCTTTAAGCTCAAAAATGAAGCAGAAATATTAACAATGACCTTCTTTAAAACACAATTAGATTAAGTATTCCTATAAGAAAACTTATGATCAGGAAGACGTTATTTGATGTAGGAAGTGAGGGTAAGAAAATGAGTCAAAAATTTCATTCTTGTTTAAATACATAAGGACTAAAAAAATAAAGATAAAAATCATATCTGTAGGAACACAAAACTAAAATTCTAGAAAATAACAATATGGTATATGTGTCACATGTGAAATAATCTAAAGAAAAAGTGAGGGTATGTTAAGCAAATTATCTTATTTGGAAGAAGAGATACTATAAGTTCAAGTAACTGTTTAGAAAATAGAGGTTGTATTAAATACATCTCACTTTATGGGGATAATTTGGCATTGATTAGAAAACCCAATAAGGACAAGAAAAGTATAGATCTATTTCATTTGGGACTATAGATGGAAAAAAATCTAAATAAAATAGCAGCTAACCAACTCCAATGATATATTTTGAAAATCAGTTCAAATGAAGAATTTTTCTCTTATTTTGCTGCTTTGAACTGAATGAGCTCTTTGGGAACTCATTTTTTTTTAACGAAGTAAGCCCTTATTAAAACTGAAAACTGTATCCCATTTATCTTTTCCTCTTTTATTTTATTATTTATTATTATTGTTATTGGTGCATTATAATTATACATATTACATATACATATTATGCCATATTTGTATGTGCATTTAACATAATTTGACAAAATCTACCAAATTATGCTATGTCCATGTATAAATATACTACAATGACTCCCACTTATACACATACACACACACACACACATAATTATAATGCACAAACTAAAATAGTAATAGTAATAACAGAAGGAAGATCAGTATAGAGTACAGCAAGTATATTGGGAGAGAAAAGTGGGAGGGAGAGGGAAGTTGCTGGGGAATGAGAATCTTTCCTATTTTAAAGACATGGAGAGACTGCCAATTCCAAGTCCTGAGCTTTATTTATAATATGCTAGTGACCAAAAGTGAAATGACATACCCAACAACATTTAGCTAATTAATTTTTGGAACAGGATTTAAATTCAGTTGTTTTCAGACTTGAGGAGCGGTGCTTATTTCTTTTTATGTGTGTGGCCTTTCTGCAAATCCTCACATCAATTCTTCCTAAGGCATTATTAGTTATTTAGTTATTTAAAAACTCTTTTGGTATCATCAAAAACCATCTATAAGTTAAAGATATGAAACTGACTATAAAATCATCCCTATCAATCAATCAGTAAGAATTTATTGAGTTCCTACTATGTTTAGGGAATTATATGATAAACTGGGAGACACAAAAAAATACCTGACATGGTTCTTCATTGAATGAATGTATAGTCTAGTTGAATAGAAAGAATATCCTTGATGGTTTCATGTATCATTAATTGCTTGTTTAAGTTTAAGGGCCAAATGAAAGCAACATTCACTTGAACCTTCCAAAGGCAAAGTTCTCTGGCATGGGATGGTCAGGGAATGTCTGGTGGAATATACTGGACTCAGGAACCCTGGGTCATCATGAAAATGTATCTGGGTTTCTGTACCATGTTTTCCCAAGCTGCCTGGACCTTTGAACTAATGAAAAAAAGTACTATCATTTCAAGATAAATTCTTCCTGGGTAGAGTTGAGCAAGGAACATTGGCTTTCATGCCTGGAGGTCTTGTTGCATCCTGAATCTCTAGAAGGGAGGCTTAAATGTCAGGATCTTAACAGGAAGCAAAAAAATTATTTGTTACTTCCTTTTTAAAGACCAAATTCTATCAGCATTTGTGCCAAAAGCTTGGTTAGAGCTCACCTTGATGTAGACACACAAAAGCTTTCGTGGTGATGGTTGTAGGTCTGCCATCACATCATGAAACCAAGCTCTCAGCTTTATACATCGACTTCTCAACCCAGGGATCAAGATCAAGGCTCCTGTACATCATAGAACCAGAAATACTTGTTTATAGCTAGCAACATCTGTAGGGTTGTACCAGGCTGCAGTGGGATTGTATGTCCCATTTCTGGTTCTTTGATAAGTCAGGCAGAAAGATGAAGAGACCATCAAACACTAGGCTGAGAAGGTAGCTAGAATTCTCCACTTTGCATCTCATCCCTCCCACCAACTACTGCCACTGAAATGAGTCTTATATTAAGGGGAACAAAGAGCTCACTTTTCAGAAGGT